TTACTTCCTTTACATCGGTAAGTTAAACCAATCCAAATTTAATCTTTTTTAGAAAGAGATTCCACAGTTTATGTTACCCCATTTTTAATTTTTCCATATAGGCTCGACCTGCTGATCCATCGACTTCCATTGATTCAAGTGTCGATAATCTGGTTTACTTGGAGACCATGGACTCGATTTACACCAATTCTCAATCCTTTCTCAAGAACAAAACAAAGCATTCTTTCGGCTCGATAACTTGTACACATGTCCTCAACATTCGATCATCACCTGATGATGTCGAGCGTCTGGGAAACAGACCCATCAGTGAGCTGATCGAACTCCCATTGGACGAATTCGCGGACCCCAAGCTCAAAAATGCAATGAGAGAAGCTTTGTTTAATAGCAACGAACAAATCCAACAGACCAAAAGGTATACATTCTGCTAAATCTCGAAAAAAATTGAAAGATGGTTACTTGTCTCGTAAGTAATCTATTCATTTTAACAGGTTGAGACTTATGTTCCGACGATGATGAAGGACTGGAAGGACACTGTTCAGCTTGTAGAAGATGGTCAGAGTTTCTTGTTGGATTATGAGGAAAACGTCAAACAACTCAAGGATGCGGTTAAAAGTGAGGAGGAGATAAAGAGTAGACTCTACGATGTAAGAAATAATTGCAAAGAATTGGAAGAGGATTTAGAAGAAGCCAGCAAAGAAGCGAGAAGGCTAGTGGAACTGAGACGAGAGGCGTCTAAAGCGACACACCAATTATACTTTGCGGCAGAATAAAAGAATCCCGAGGTCGAAGGCATAGAGATGGATATATCACAGGCGAAGGATGAGTTGAACCAGCTGAGGGCCATGTGGGAATCGGAATCCTACAATTCACAATTTTTCGCTTGAGAATCGACAAGTTTTTTTTACTTCATCAACTTGTGATGTTGATATGTCAAAGTTTGTGAGATATGTGGCTTGATATTCGAATAATGTTATTCTGTGTTATAAAAACAATTGTTATGCTAAGTTTTTCCTCCCACTATTTTGTGCAATTTCTTTATCTTGAGTCTAGATATATGTTTGGTAAACCAATAAGTTAACTTATAGCTTACTTGATTAGCTTATAAGCTCTCTGTATTTAAATAAGCTCTGTTTGGTAGGACGAGCTTATTTGATAAGTTTGTTTAGGTAACGTTTCAAATAAGTTAGTTGAATTTTTTATTTTAGCTAGCTTATCAGCTAATTTTACCAAACACTTTTAACATATAAGCTAGCTTTTCAGCTATAAGTCATAAGCTACAAGCTATAAACTCGAAAATTACTGATAAGCTATAAGCTAGCTTATCAGCTATCAGCTAGCTTATCAACTAGTTTTACCAAACATAACCTAAGATTTACCATTTATAAGAGATGGCAGGTCAATTATATGGCCAAATTCACTTATCATTAATTACTTCCCATTTCCATTAATATTAACTTTTTTATTTTTTATTTTAAAAAAAATCAATTAGCATTAAATGTAACCACAAATTATGGGTTTTAGATCATTTTAGGATTCAAAATCTCGGCTGAGATTTTAGAAATAAGGTTTCCATGTTGAATTCAAACTAGTATGAGTCTCATGCAGTGTAAAAATTAGAGATTTAGTCCTTTAATTGGTACCTATTTGAGGTTTAGTCCTGTAAGTGACCCACTTTTAGAAAACATCCCGTAAGTGCCAAAAATCGTGAGAAATAGTCCT